GGTGTTTCTTCGAGGGTTGTTGGTATGGTATTAGGTCCTAAATTTAAGCCTAATCCATCTTGAATTAGATTTTGTTTAAGGGTGTAGAAGGAAGGGATCGGTTTCAGCCTTTCCACTTGATGGCTAGCCAGTTTCCCGCACTTTATTAAAGAGGGAATCCTTTCCCTGTTTCTGTTTTTGTCAGTTTTGTCAAAGATCAGATAGTTTGCAAATGTGTTGGTGTTATGTTTTTCTGAAGGCTCTGTTCTGTTCCATTGGTCTATATCTCTGTTTTGGTACCAGTACCATGCTGTTTTGGTTACTGTAGCCTTATAGTATAGTTTGAAGTCAGGTTGTGTGATGCCTCCAGCTTTGTTCTTTTGGTTTAGGATTGTCTTGGCAATGCAGGCTCTTTTTTGGTTCCATATGAACTATTAGGACTTATTGTTTGAGAAATTAAGTTTTCTCTCTCAAAGAATAAAGATTTTCAACCTTTTTTTCCACAAATGCCGAGACCAGCTGAGTGAAGGAGACCCTAAACCAGCAGCACTAGAGGAATTAAAGACACACACACAGAAATATAGAGGTGTGAAGTGGGAAATCAGGGGTCTCACAGCCTTCAGAGCTGAGATCCCTTAACAGAGATTTACCCACGAATTTATTAACAGCAAACTAGTCATTAGCATTGTTTCTATAGATATTAAATTAATTAAAATATCCCTTTTGGGAAATGAAGGTATTGGCTAAATTAAAGGAATAGGTTGGGCTAGTTAACTGCAGCAGGGGCATGTCCTTAAGGTACAGATTGTTCATGCTATTGTTTGTGGCTTAAGAATGCCTTTAAGCGGTTTTGCACACTGAATGGGCCAGGTGTTCCTTGCCCTCATTCCGGTAAACCCACAATCTTCCTGTGGGTATTAGGGCCATTATGAACGTGTTACAGTGCTGCAGAGATTTTGTTTATGGCCAGTTTGGGGGCTAGTTTATTGCCAGATTTTGGGGGACTTGCTCCAAACATGTCCCCCTTCTTTGATTTGCAAATCAATAAAAGCAAAGACAGCTTTGTCACAGTGAGCTACTTCTCACAGGAGTCAGGATCTGCATTTGCAGACTATACAAAGACAAACAACATAGATTAAAAGCACAATCATCATTGCAATCACAGAGCTTCCAAGTGTTTTTGTTCATTTTAATGGGTTACTAGCTGCTAATTTGACTGTAGCTCCTTTAAGCACTCCAGTTCCTGGCATTAAGGTCAGGTGTGCCTGGGATGCTTTCAATATTTGTTCTTGTAATTTTGCTATATCCAAAAACAAGTTTGTAGAGTGTCCTTCTGGATGCTTTTTTATTCTTTCCCACATTTTGATCTTATTAAGAGCATTTAATAGTTTCTACAAATCCTTATGTTAAGCTCCTAGAGCAGGCCATATCATTTGAGGTTGAGGTGCCACAATACCGCCATGGTTCCAGATAATAGGAACTTTTGCTGTACTTCTTATCATTTCTACCATCTGACCATTTTGTTCAGATCATCTGAACATAGTATGGCCGTGGCACACAGACTGAGAGGTGCAAT